ATGATGATAATGTTATTGCTTTCGTATATTGTTTTATGAATTTCACCGAGGTAAGTGGATAGTAAAGGATTTTATTATTGATAAAAGAATTTGTTGTAAATTATGCTCCATTGGTCTTTTTGTGTTTTCTACCCACCTTTACCTCCGTGACAGTGAGATAGTGTGATGTCTTTACTAGGCTGGTATAGCTCATTCCTTATTTAATCATTTCAGATCAGGAAGACATTGTTCCCGAGCCCGTTCTGCAGGAAGATGGTGAAGAGGACGCCTGAAGACTCCGTAGTTATATTTATAGCTTTTATTTTCGAGTTTCTCTTTTAGTTAGTTTGTTCTTTTATACTTTGAGCACGTTTTTGGTTTTAGTGTAAGAGATGTTAATCAAAATTTTTATTACGCTTCCGCATTTGACCTTTTTAATACACATATTTTATTTTAAAATTCCGGGGCCGTTACAAATAATTTGTATATGTATTTGTTATGTGGACTAACTATATATATCAGAAACAATTACATTAGAAATTATAGAAGTTAATTAAGAAAATATCTAAATAAATAAGTTTATGGAGTAATTGATCACATAACTAGAACAATATGTAAATGTCATAGCTAATTTATTATACAAGACCAACATATTTTATGCCAAAAGTTATCTTAAACCTGTGCTTGTTACTCTAGTATCGTCCAAAACTAAAAATGAAAAATTTGTGGACATAATATATTAATAATTTTATCTTAAGTTAATTTTGTTGTTGTTTCTTCTTCGTATAAATCTATTATACCTTGAGTTCAATGCTTTTAAATAATTTACATAAAAAAATAGTTAATTAAGATAACACAACATACTAAGCCATATTTATTCATTAAAATTATTAATTAACAATTAACGAAGTCTTTAATAATTTTATTCATATAAATTCCCTTTCTTTCATTGACTAAATTAAAAAAAAAATTAAAGGTTTACTTCGAGAAGCAATTATATAAGTATTAAACTATCTTTTCTTCTTCTAACCTATATGAATATGATCTAAAGGCAAGAAGAAAAAGAAGAATCATTAACTTTCTTCTTGAGAATGAAGTACTACACCTATAAAATCTAGTTATTGAAAATAGTTGTCCATTGATTGTATAACAAAAGTATTTTTTTTTTTAATTTTGCATAGATTAGTTAATTGAACTGTAGATATATAACTTTCAAATAAAATTCACTTAACGAGTCCATTCATGCATGTTTAAGCAAGTACATTTTAAACACAACGCCTCCCACTTAAGATGCAAGTATACATATAGAATTTTTTGAATAATAGACAATAAAAAGAGTAAAGTAAAATTGACTATATAGTTTGATGTCAATAAAAGATTTAATTATAAAATTTAATATTAACCAAAATAATGAAATTGAAAATAGTACCTATAGTAATGTTTGAAAATATTTTTCCGATTAAAAACTAATAAGCCTTTACAAAGACAAGTCTCAATGATGATTCTAATTATAAAAACAAATTATTAAGGAAATTAATTCTAAAATTGCGCACAATCACAATAAAGTAAAAATAAAATTAACATAATATAATATTTAATGTGGTTCGACAGTGTGCCTACACTCACAGGTAAGATTGATAAAAAAACTTTTATAATATAATAATTTGATAGTACATCACTAATAGGTTAACAGGTTAATATATAGAGAAATTATGAGAATTTTTCTCCCACAAAACTCTCCATGATATACATAAAATAATGAACAAGATAATTACAACACATTTTCTTAGGATGAATACAAATTTCTCAGGATAAATATAACTATCATCTAGATATGATATCCCCATATTCAAGCTATATCAACAAATCTTTTCATTGGCTTGAATTCTCTTTATCATCAAAGAAACTAACCGTCTCATCACACTATCTTACTAATATCCCCTCACAAAAACACACCGAGTATCACATACTTTAACCAAGTTTAGGTTATGTCTAAACTTGCTAATTGATTCCCAAATGAAGTGATAACTACCGTGAAGTTCTTCACACACAACACCAACCCCGTGATCTGCATTTGAACTCCCTGATTCCTACAGGTCAACTGTTTATTGATAAGGCATACGCAACAAAATTTTTATATATCTTTGGTGATATAATCCGTCTTATCTTCCTGCTTGTTGCGATGTTATATGACTATTGTTGATTGGTTGTACTACCTTGTACATCCCTAAATTGAGTTACTAAAGAATCAATCACTAAATCCACTTGTTTTTTAACACTAGGATCTGATTCTGCTATTAGCTTCTCCTTTTGACTATCTAGTGAAACAGACTCATTGAATATCACATCTCTACTGATAACTAATCCTGGAGATTTAGGATCACTGCACCACAATCTGTACCCTTTAACTCCATATGCATACCCTAGAAATATGCATTTTTTTTGCACTTAACTCAAGCTTACAATCCCTCACATGAGTATAAGCAAGACAACCAAACACTCTCAACTGAAAGTAATCAACAGGTGAAGCAGACCATACCTTAAAAAGAAGTTCTAAGCTCAATAGCTGTTAATGGAGATCTATTAAAAAGTGTAAGTGCAAGTATTATGAAATCAATGAGCAGTATTTCAAGAAAATTATTAATTATATCAATATAATTTTGAAATCTTTATAATATTTGAGAAACATCTGCGAACGATGAAGTTATCGAGATATGTGAAAGTGAAGTTGTGGTTTATGAGAATGTGAAGTTTTTGACTCTATACTAAAGAACTGATTGAAAATCTCTATTAGATTGAAATATTTTACGACCAAATTCCTCTTATAAATGAAAAACTATAAAGATTTAAACTCTTAATATGTCTATTTTTCGAAATCTAAAAAGAATAAAAGAAAATCTCAGTGTTTAATAAACTTAAACTGAATATACAATATCTGTTCTTTAGTTTCTTACATACAAAAGTTTGCAAGTTTTGTGCACATTAGGTTTGCAAGTCTTGTGCACATTTTTTAGTAGAGGGTATATGTTTTTATGTTTTTTTATTCGTTGAAAAGATGAGAAAGTAATATTTTTTAGTAAGTAATTTATAGTTTTTCCAATTTAGACTTTCTTTTGAGAAAGTATTTGACTGTATTCAAAAAAAATCCAACCAACCATATTACTATGTAATAAATTTACCTATTTAGACATAATAAATAAATTTATATGTTTGAGAAAATTACTTATTTACGCTAAAATAATATCAAAATAAAAAATTAAATAAAAAATAAGTTTGAAAATGCCACATTTCTAATTAGGAGGATACACAAGAAAATATATTCTATTGAATTTATACTGCAACAAATAGACAAGAAAGTATAATACATGTTTTTTATTAATCAATTCAGTTACATACTGGATATAGACAAATTTTGTTATCCTTATAAGTATTTAGCCCCTCCCTCTTTTTCATAAACATTTTGTCTTATTTTGGACCAATATCTATAATTAAAATTTTATTTTAATTGGATTAAGGTTAATTAAAATATTTGTATTATTATACCTCACAAAACTAATGTGAGATTTCACATATCTAATTTTATATTTTTTGTATCTAAATAATTGTAAAAATATTGTTTTGATGTATGCATATCATGAGCTTATATATACATACATATTTACAACTCACAGTTAAGCAATTATTTATATATTTACGCCTATAATTTGTGTTTTATCCATTCAAATATGTTCTACTCATTTTTAATATCAGTTCAAGTAATTGTATTTTTACTAAGATCATAATATTTATGACAAAAAATTCAAATATTTTTATTATTTTTTAAAGTTAAAATTAAAATTTAACTAAGAAAATAGAAGTACATTCCTATTTTTATATTTGTAAATTTGATTTACTCTTATATATTTAATTAAAAAAAAATAAAACTACATAACTTTGCAAAATAGATCTACTTATCGTTAAAAGATTAATTTTTTCTAAACCTGGTTCACTTTAATATTATTTGAACAAATCAAAATCATGTCTTGCTCTGAGTGGAGTTAATATTTTTCTTTTGTATGAAACACTTTTAAGATCAAACGAACCACATTTCTTCGTGAATGTTAGTAGTTCATTGATGAGAAGAGGTTGGAAAAAGTGTGAACATAGTGATAAATATAAGCACAATTGAAATTTATGAAGAATTATATATTTGTATATTGATAAAATAATTTGTTTCTGATTTAAGTAAAACAAACAAATTAGATAATTTATGGGTATAAACAATTTTGTAAGACAAGAGATGCCAACAATTTTTGGTGCCTCTTAATGCAGGGTTTGTAAACAAAATGATTGTGGCAATTCAAAATTTGTAAATGACCATTTTGTTTTTGTTAGACTGCTAATTCTTCTCAATCACAAAGCTCTCCATCTACAGTACAAGTAAAACATAAATGAAATTATATAGTGCATCATTTTAAATTTTATAGTTGAATAAAAATTTATTGTGCATGAAAAAGCCATAAACGGTTGAATTGCCTAATGTTAATCATAATACAATACATTCTAATTGATATTAATTATATTAAATACCAAAAAATTGCATTAAGTCTTCTTTTGTATTAATTAAATTAAATACTAAAAACTCACATCAAAGTTACTTTTATATTTAAAAAGATTTATTGTATAATTGGTACACAAGTATAAATTAAATTATATTTTTATATTTTAAAAATTCAAAAACTTAATCATTAAATAAATAACTGTTATATATATATATATATGTTATCATATTAATTTAATTTAAAAATATTTATTACATAATCGATAGTCAGGTAAAAATTAAATTATATTCTTATATTTTTATATTTAAAAATAAATAACTGTTATATATATTATTATATATTTAATTTTTTTATATTAAAAATTAATTATTATATAGTTTATATTGGACTAACAATTAAATTTATATATATTTTAAAAATTTATTTTTTATATTACATACCGTATTTGCTTCACACAATTGTTTAAGAAATACTATTGGAGGTGTTCACTATATTATTCTGAAAAATTATTATAATTCGTTCTGAATCCAGAATAATCAATAGCATCAAAGCTCAATAAGAATCAATGGTGGCCGTAGCATACACAGGTTCAACGATCCATCCAGTAGCCAACCAAAGAATAAATTCGACGGAGGAAAGGCAACGAACACCTTTACTGGACAACCCCCAGGAAACAGAAAGGGAAATGGTAGCTTCGTCTTCGTCTAAACTTTTGGCCGCGGCAGCTGAGAAGTTGGTTTCGGCGGCTCGGCGCCAAGCCCTGACTCTAACAGACGCCGCTGCCGCCAGAATACGGCACCTTCTCCAGCAGCGACAGCGTCCTTTTCTTCGGCTCGGCGTCAAGGCGCGAGGCTGCAACGGCTTGTCCTACACCCTCAACTATTCAGGTTTTCTTCCCCTTCAATAGTATAACGTGAATTTCTATACGATACCCTTTATCTTGTTTGATTAGTTAACCGATTCATGAATTGTTTTCGTTTTTCTTTTAATTTTGTTATCTTGAACTTGTTCTGTCTCTTGTGATTTATGTTGTATTTCTGTTTACAGCAAGAAAAACGATTAAATTCTCTCACTGCTACCCTTGGGTATCATTTATTTGTTAAAGCACTTGTTTAGCTGATCTAAACGAGAGCTGTAATTTATGTTTTTGATCATGTAAGGACGAAATAATCGTGAGATACGAGTTGCTGGGTTTCTCTCCATATTCTATTGTAGTCTGTGGATTCTGGAGTACCATTTTGACAATTCAATAAGCAACACAAGATTCAGCCATGGTCATACGCAGGATGAGTAATTTGGGGAGATTCTTGATTAGATAAACACCTTTGAGATCATGTATAATTCAAGGTTTTTGTATTAAGATTGAACATCCAGCATTCAGGAGAGAATTCCTCTTATATTCCTAAATTTACTGTGGGTATGGTTAATTATATTCAATTGCATTGGACCCATTTCATTACCCTTGCTAACTCTGCCAAACAGAGAATAGGTGATCCCTGGAACTGGCATTTTTTCAAATGGATACAAAAAGCTTTACCACTGAAATTGAGGAAGTTCTTATTCCCGGCAAGCTTCCATACCTGGATGATCATCTGTCTGATCTAGAAGACGAGTTGGCTATACAACAAACAACTGTGATGTTATCTGATAGAATGAGTAATTTGAGTCCATGGGCAGAAGGACTAGTATCATTTAAGGGCTTTATCAAGTGCCGAATTGCCTAAAACCACCTGATGGTCATATTAGACAAATGACCTCCCCACTTACTTCCATGTCAAAATAAAATTTCCAAAAACTATCTGAAGCCTTTGCTCTGGAATAACTTGTAAGCTCTGGGGCAAACTGTACAGTAATTAATTAATTGACAAAGTTGCAATGTTAAGGTGTTAAAAGCGATGCTATTAGATGGTAAACAAAAAGGCAATAAATTGAGATGCTTTTTCTCACTAGTTTACCTCTTGGACATCTTAGTTTAGGAAGTTCCCTTCGGTCCGTCTTCTATTTAATTTTGCTATTTGTAAATTCTAATTTCATATTAGTATTGCCATGTACAATTAAACATGGTTTACTATTTCTTTAAGAAAAAAAATAGTTTACAATGTTTGAGTCATCCCACCCACAAGAACTCAAAGTTTGGATGAGGATGATTCAAACAGAAAAAATTGTGTTTTAGTTCTGCGTATCAAGGGTAATATAAACAATTAAACTAGAGATTAGCTAGGAATTTAATGAGAACAAATTAGACAGGCTGTATTGTACTGGGATTTTAAGAATCTGCCCTGTTTTGAATTGTGTGTTTTGTGTGGTATGTTTGTAAAAGTACGAGGTAAGTCTTTTTCATTATCTCTCTATTGTATTAGTTTATGCAAATATTGTTGGAATGTTTGGATAGACTTTCCATTTTGTGTCATGGTATCCATTTGACATGGTAGTTCAGAAAAATATGCAAGTACGTATACATGTAACACTTCAGTTCAATTCTGGAAGTGTTCTTATAAAATAATTTCTCTGAATAATCATTTTCTCTTTCAAACTGAAATAGAACATTTGTACTTGAGAAGTGTAGCACAGTGTTTGATGTTCTTTGGCATTTAATTTTCAGATGAGAAGGGGAAATTTGATGAGATGGTTGAAGACAAGGGTGTGAAGATATTGATCGATCCAAAGGCCTTAATGCATGTGATTGGGACCAAGATGGACTTCATTGATGACAAACTCAGGTAAATAATGGCTGCTTTTATACCTAATTACGTCATGTAGGCACATATCAAATAAAGTAATTAATTAAATGCATTTTTATAGATGAATCCATGCGTAATTGCAACCTGTAACAATGATGAATCCACTACACCTGGACATTTGATGTCTTCTTTGCCTTGCATCACGGAGGGATAATGCTTATTCCAAAGAACCTTGAGGTTGTTGTGTTCCCACACGCTTCATTTTCCTGACTTTGATGCATGTATTATAGATTTTTGTGTTGCTGACTACGTGAGCAAGAAATTTGAGGTCGTAGTTTCTCAAGAAAAAGAAACATTAGGTTATGTATTTCCATCATGCTTGGGGTTCCACTTGCAAAATACAACATAGATTGATTGTGTTACCATGCTTTTAACTTAGTACAGGATTATTAACCCGCATTACAGGTGAATTAAGCACTATGATAGTGAATCCCTCTCCATGAGAATAGGCAAGAATTTCCTAACCAACAGGCCAAGACACCGGTTCCGAACTTCTAATGGGATTTAATTTTTATACAGACATCCGGTATATTCCCAATAATGAATTTAATGCTTCTTATTAACATGATTTCCAAGTATCAGGGAAACTAGCCTTTGGCATCTCAACCTTATGTTTGAGAATGCGTGTCTTTAAGTGAGCAATTTTTCCTAGGATCAAAGAGCTGATTTTATTTTCACGGTTCTCCTTTCCTTTGTGTCTCAAATATTTAGTATGTTTGTCGCTTATGCAGATCTGAATTCATTTTTATCAATCCGAACTCTAAAGGGCAATGCGGCTGTGGTGAATCCTTTATGACAACGAGCAGCACCAAATCTGCTAAGCATGGTGGCAGTTAGAATTTTTGTCACTGGTCATCCCTGAAGCTCTTTTGTATATGTTCTTTTACCAACCCAAATATTCTTGAATGCTAGAGATTTTTGTTTGCTTAAACAAATTTGTATTAAGTTTCTATTTGGGATAGGGTTTTAAGTTATGGAACAAAGTGGAATATGGGCTATTCTTGGAAGGAATGTAAAATTTGTAGGTAATGTATTTACAAAGATCTACTTATTTTAATTAAAAGATAAAAATTGTGTTCATGTAAAAGTGAAACACTATATTTTGGATTTTATTAATTTTTATATAATTTAATGATGATAGTATATTTTAAAATTTTGTATAAAATTTTGATAGAATTCAGAATTTATTGGTTCAGACCACATGTGATTTCATATCTAACAATCTTTTTTTATCATATTAATATAACTCATATTCTCCTAGTTGTAGTAATACAATTATGTTTTGTTATGAATATCTATGTCTAGTATAATTTAGATATTGATTAGTAAATTATTTTTAATCAAACAATTTATACTATCCTAAAAAGTTGTACATTATCTTAAAAAATTTATATCAAATAAATATACTCTACACAATTTATTATTTAATAATTTAAAATATAAATATTAAACTTGCAACAAAGTACAACTAGTACATTAATTTAAATATAAATATTATTCATTATTATTTTTTTTATTATTTGATCCTAGTAATTAATAAAATCACTATTGAGTCATGGATAGTACTGACAATATATAATTTAATATTTACAAATTATTTATAATTTATATATTTTAGGCATAATAAATTTTGTATTTCCAATTCTCAATAAGAGAATTAAAAAAATATCTCACTTGAATTATATACGAAACACACTTCATACTCTTTACAACCCCAATGTCAGATTCAGCTTATTGTAATCTGTTGAAGAAAACGTAAATATCAACATAATTAAGAGACTAAATCAGTCAGTTTTGTTTCCCAGACCATCTGATTGTTTCTGTCCAGAGGCATTGCACAGTAGTCAAGAACTTAGATGATTATCCTTATGATTAACCCTAGGAGAAGATATCCTGTGTTTGGACCACTCTTCCAAGGCTTTGTGATGAAGAGAATTCATCCGAATGTAAGGCCGTCTTTCCCGGATGTACTTCTCTGCATTTTTCCAATCTTCTACCACACCTAAAGCCACCAATATTGCACATGCCACAGCAACACTTCTTCCATGACCTATGGGAAGCATTAAACAATTGAAACAAACTGTTATTGAAGAAATACATCCATATGTCAACAAAGACTACTAACTCGAAACTGTGGAATTGACTCTTGATCAAAATAAGCAATAAGAGGCTAACAACCTGAGTTCCAGATAGAGCAACTCTATGAAAGGAAGATGCAAATGTAATTATATTCTATACATTCCCAGCAATTATATAGTCAGTCCAGAATGAGAGGAAAACATGCATCAGCTACTTTTAACAAAAACAAATAATAAAGGGGTTGCAAACTTTATAGGGTAGAGTGTTGTGACCGAAAAACCTGATCTGTTCGCTAGGAAGGTTTACAGGCGCAGGACCCACAGTTTCAAGATGGGATCAACTTCTTCTTAACATAGATGGTTTGGACGTTCTTACCTAGACTCTTTCAACTTTAGAATTGCAGACAGTATTTAGAATAGAAGTTTGGTTTAGTAAGTATTTTCCCTTGGCTAGCAGTAATAGGTTTAGATCCTAGAATTTAGGGAGGCTAATTGCCATAGCATTGACCATGTGTATATGCATCTGTAGAAAGCAAATAGAGGAAATAATATACAGGTTCCCTACCAATCCCCTATTGCATTTCATCATACTTCACAAGAAGGAATTCTCAAAGCAAGCAGCTCACCTTTTTCCCAAAAAAAATGCATTAACATAGAAGAGAAAAAGATACAGCAACAAAGGACAAGAAACAGATTTCTAGACAAAGCCCACCAAACTGTCTAGAGTCCTTGATATTTGAGCCACTTAGGGATTAAACCAAAAAGGTTGGACTTAGACTGGAGTAAAAGA